TTTCGTATAATCTTGTTGTACTAGAAGCTTACAACACACATCGATCAAAAATTAAAGAAATCAATCTTTTTCTTGTTCTGGTTGGTTCATCGGTGATGGTTATTAGTGGCCAAAACCACCTTTGGATGGTTCAAACATTCCCATACGGATATTGTGCTTCTCATCAGTTTACACAAGTTATTAAGTCGGATGTGGTAGTTCACGGGCTTTCGCCGGCGGATCGTTCCAGTTCTACACTCCTAGGACCCTGCAGATCTACAGGAATCAACCATGAATTCAAGCCGGTATGATATGATCTGGACCAAGAGGGCGGTCCTAACGATTTAAAATTATCATATATTTTAGATATTTTTATTGAAAATCCGTTTTTGCCCCCTCTGAATTTTATACGTTGGCCGTTACTTGACCTAACATAAAATCTTGTGTAGATCTATTTATATTCTTTTTCCCCTTCTTATTCTAATATCGCAATTCTAATCAACAGAATGCTAGATTCAAACGGCCATTATCAGTTGATATGCAACCGTCTTGGTATACCCTCACCTTCATTAATGATATGGTTTTCAATAGAAAAATCTAAAATATAAGATAATTTTAAATCATTAAGGCCACCCCCTCGATCCATATCATATCATACCTGCATGTTTGCTTTTTTAAATCCTGTAGATGTGCATGGTCCTGGGAGTTTAGAATCGGAACGATCCGCCGGCCAAAGCCCGTGAACTACCACATCTGATGTAATAAGATGTGTACACTAATGAGTATTACGATTTGAATAGATATGTTTGTATGAATTTTGGTACGATTGTTGAGTTATATACTTTTTTTTATTTCATTTTCTATACACGTAATAACGTGATGTGCAGGATGAATTACAATATAAGTTTAAGGGTCACGTTGAGGATATAAAGCAACTCCTTTAATTATTTGAACAAAAAAATTTTGATTAAGTTGAACTTGAGTAGTTTTTGAGCTATTTTGCCTCATTTACAACCCTAGCTTAGACACTATGAGGTGATCGGTGAGAGGTGAGAGATTAGGATGATCGGTTGAGATTTGGGTTTCAGATTAAGGTGTGTGGACTAGATATTGAAATTATGGTTTAGTCACTTTAATTTTATTTCCCTTTTTCTTTTAAATAAGACTTAACATTAGATATTAATAAAAAATATTGTTTTCATAATAAAAATAATAAAATAATCTATATCATTGTAAATTGTATAATTTGAACAGTGGATTGACTAAAACAATAATAATTCAAAAATTCAGTAATTAAATTAAAAAAAATAAACTTCAATGACCAAAACAAGAGTGAGAAGATAGTTTAGTAGTGAATAGTATAATTTACCCTAAATTTGAGCAATCAAAAATATTAGAATTAAATCTAAATTTTTGGTGCAGTACAGGGATTAATGACAAAATTTTACCTTATGCTTTGTTTTCACCAAAGCTTCTCTCTTATAACACTCCATGTTCACATCACCAAACTCTATATCTCTCTTATAACATCTCACGTGTCATGTATCTTATGACATCCCATGCATTCATAGATACCGAAGTTCAATCCGAGCTGGATAATCGAAGTATTAATATTTTGACTTATGAAGGGAGTCTGGTTAGCGTCGTTAGACATAGGTAGAGATATTTTCTTATAAAATTATTGATTATACAAATAATTGTTGAGTACTATGATTTAAGTTGATATGTTTATATGGATTTTGGTATGATTGTTTAGTTGTATGCTTTTCATTTCATTTTCTAACACACGTAATAATGTGATTTGTAAGATGAATTACGATATGAGTTTAAGGGTCTTGTTGAGGATAACAAGAAATTTCTTGAATTATTTGAACAACGAAATATCTTTGATCGAGTTGAACTCAAGTGGTATATGATATGTCTTGTTTCATTTATCGGCTAAGTTGAAACGGTGTGAGGTGGTGGTTGGTTGGGATTTAGGTTTGGGATTATGGTGTAATGATTTTAATTTAATTTTATTTTAAAACCTATTTGACATTAAATATTAATAAAAACATTATGTCATAATAAAAATAATAAAATAATCTATGTCATCGCATATTTTATCATATGAACAGTATAATGACTTAAACAGAAATAATTTGAAAGTTCAATAATTAAATTAAAAAAAATTAAATTTTAATGACCAAAATAAGAGTGAAAAGATAGTTGAGTGGTGAATAGTATAATTTACCTAAAATTGAGCAATTAAAAATATAAGAATTAAATCCATATTTTGGGTATAGCACAGGGATTAATGACAAAATTTTACCTCATGCTTTGTTTTACCGAACTTTTAGGATAGTCAACGGTAAAACAGTAATGATTAGTTGTTTTTATATGCAAAACGGGACCGTTTTTTTCGGAAGTTGTAGTATGTGTGGATATTAGGGGTCAACATTTTATAGATTGTAAAAAATCGAATAAGTCGATCTTCAATAAAGTTGTAGTGTTTTTATTTTTATTTTTTATTTTGAAAGAAAATCGTTGATTGCATTAACAATAAAGGATATCATGTAGAATAATGTCATACATATATTCAAGATAATCATGAAAAAAATATAACGATAAGCGATTAACGACAGTCTGATGAGCGTGAATAGTTGAGACAACAACATACAAAGATATATCACGTCGACGTCCCTGAGTACCAATATAGAGGAAGATGACTTGAGGAATATCCACACTGAAATGAAAAACCAATTCTCCCGGAATTGTAATCTCAAAATATCATTTTGTGTTTTTATTATATCAAATTATTAAAAAAGAAAACTATATTTTTGTTTTCTTTATTCCTTATAATATAGCTATTAACATGTGGTTTTTGTGTTAAAATTTGTACAAATTATATTTTTATATTTAGATGTTTAAATATATTCCGATAAATATAAATATTTAACATTTTTAATTTTATCATTTTAAGTGCTTATATTGTAACGGTCGTTAAAAATATGTTAAAAAATTATCAATCAATCAATATTGTACATATGAATTAATTTTTTTTTGTTTCCTTTAATTTTTTAAAAGATAAAATTCAACAATTTTTTTATAAAAATATCATATTTAGGAAAAAAAACCTAAAATCTTCGATTCTGTTACCGACATTATCACCATCAATAATCACTCACTCATTCGTCGACCACTCACTCGTCGATTGAGATGAATGTCTGTTGAGATTTAATAATTTGGAGTCTGGATTTAGAGATTTGAATTTTTGGAATTTAAAAATTGAGGTTAAGGGCGACGATCAACGATAGGTGGGTAGATGGCCTGATAGGACTATAGTGGTGGGGGACAGTTGAAAAGTGAGACTAAAACTCTTGTGATTTGATATTTTAGAGAAATTTTGGATTTTTTTAAATTAATAATAATTTAGAGTGTTTTTAATATGAGTCGCTAGTATTATTGAAAAAGTAAAAATATCTAAAATTAGAAGGGTTTACGAGTATCATTGTAAATTAAATACATAACTTGGACATTTTCCTATAACATTGAAACTAGTCGCTTTATATCATATAAGGATCATATATGAAAAATGTTAAAAACTCAACAACAAAAAAAAACTCGAACAAATCTAAATGCATAGGCAAACGAATCATAAAATGAGATTAAGCTATTGAAATACAATCGAGAATCGCAAATCAGAGCTCATCGTCGTGGGAAACAATATCCACATATACAAACTACCGCATCCAAATTCAATTTAAGGGTCAATAACAAGGAAGATCATAAAGATTATAAATGAGCATCATCTGGATCAGTTGTGGAGAAGTCAAAATCAACCTTGAGAAAACATAAATAAAAGAACGATCGAGAAAGAAAATAAAAATATATCACGAAGTCTGAGAAAATGTGTCACAAAGGTATAATTAATCTTATTAAAAAACTAAAAAAGGAAATAAAGATAAAAGAAAACCAACAGTTGACAACTAGCATAAAAAACGGTGTCATCATCGACTAAACAAATTAAAAAAAATTAATCTGATCTACAGAAAATGACATAAACTCTAAAGAAAAAAAGAGAAGGATTGACAATATTTTTTTTATTGTCGTTACAATTTAGACACTTAAGATGATAACGTAAGATATAAGTGGGAGGACATTGATAGTTTACGCCTATATAATTTTATATATTTTTAAATGTATACTGATATTAATGGGCAAAACTTTCGAGATAATGTTCTGAAAGAAATTAATTCACGAGCTAATGCACTCCCAAGATTAATTGCTCAAATAGGGTGAAATCCACAGTGTTGGCCGTAGGTCGCCATGCCTTCCAGGCGACCTTATAGGTCGCCCTTGTAGGTCGCCATGCACTCCGGGCGACCTTGTAGGTCGCCATGCACTCCGAGCGACCTACCCTCGCTCGGCTGCCCTCGCATAGCTCGCTCGGCTACCATCGGATGCCCCCGCATAGCTCGTTCGGATGGCCTCGGTCGGATATCCTCGGATGCTCTAGCATAGCTCGGTCGGATGACCTCGGATGCTCTCGCATAGCTCGGTCGGATGGCCTCGGATGCCCAACGTGTTGGTACGTGCATGACACATGCAATCTCTTGTAGCTCGCCGGGAAGACATGGCGACCTAGTAGGTTGCCCGGAAGGCATGGCGACCTACGGCCAACACTGTAGATTTCACCTTATTTGAGCATTTAATCTGGGGAGTGTATTATCTCGTGAATTAATTTTTTCCAGAACATTATCTCGAAAGTTTCGCCGATATTAATGTTAATAAAACTAATTTTAATCAACTATTTCATTTATTAATATTTTATTTAACATAATTAGAGTATAAAATAAATAAGTTTTAGTAGTAAAATTACTCAAAATAGATATTTACATTACTAATATATACATTATATTATTCTAATAAAGCAATGTTGAGAATCTAAATAGAGTAAGATTGTTCTATTCAAACACGCCCTTAGCACTAATTAAGCCAGTTCTTTTTTAAACCCACAAACTTATTTCAGATTACATCCAAGTCCCCTAACCCAGGGATTGAGGACAAAAGTTAAACCAAACCCCAACTCCAAGCCCTTCGATTGAAGCCCCAACTTCCCAAACCCTAATCCTGCAAATAATTTCTCATTGTTCCTAATTTTTTAAACCTTCAAGAGAAAAAAAGGAGCTAAAATATTTGAATTGTCGAAAGAAGAAATGGATTTCGACGAGTACGAGTATTTGGAAAAGACCGTCGAGGAGCAGGAAGATCCGAAGAAGAAGAAAGACGGAGGGTCGGGAGAGAAGAGTGAAAGAAGCTACAGGAAGAGAGGAGAGAGAAGAGAGGATGGTGATGAAATCAAGAGCAGCAGAAAGAAATCGAGAGGCAGCCGCGACGAGGACGACGAGGAGAGGCGAGATCGTGATAAGGAACGCCATAGAAGGAGCCGCGATGAGGACGGTGAGGAGAGGCGAGACCGTGATAAGGAACGCCATAGAAGCAGCCGCGATAGGGAGAGAGAGAAGGATAGGGACCCAGAGAGGAGCAGTAGAGAGAGGGAAATGGAAAGGGGGAGAGAGAGGAGAGATAGGGATAAGGAGAAAGAGAAGGATAGGGAGAGGAGGGAAAGGGAAAGGGAAAGGGAGGAAGAAAGGAGAGAGAGAAGCAGTAGCAGGTCGAGAAGGCACGAAAGGGAGGAAGAACGGGAGAGGGAGAGGGAGAGGAGAGAGAGAAGCAGTAGCAGGTCAAGAAGGCACGAGAGTGATCGTGAACGAGACAGGGAACGTGAAATTGACACCAGAGACAGCAGGTATCCTACTACATTTACAAAAGCAAATTATATTTTCAAAAATTTACGAGTAAAATCACATGAAAAACCAAAATTTTAAACTACAGCGAGGAAGTTGGTTTGTTACATCTGTTTTTGTTATGTATTCGAAATGATGCCATTGAGCTAAAAAAAACTTAGCAGCCCTAGAAGTTGAAGCTCATGCTATATTGATGTTTCAGAATTCATTTATTTGATTTGATAGGAAAGAAATGGTGTGAGAGAGTTTGATATTTGCATGTATGATTTAGAGTTACAGAACTTCTATGCCATTTGGATGGGCACATTTTACATGAAGTGCTTTTGGTTGCAGGAGATTTAAAGATAAGAAAGAAGTAGTGGAGCCCGAAGCTGATCCTGAGAGAGACCAGAGAACTGTTTTTGCTTACCAGGTAGATGCATCACGCCTTCTTCTTCTTTTTTATTTCATTTTTTAAATATTATTAGACATAAATGTTATGCTAATGTGTGTTCAAATATATCTTTTTCATTTACTCTCGTGATTAACTCTGATGACAGATGCCTCTAAAAGCAACTGAGAGAGATGTCTATGAATTCTTCTCAAAAGCGGGCAAGGTTAGTCAGGTTTTACTTGGTTAACTTGTATCTTGTGTGCGGGTCGTAGTGCAATTTGTCCAGCATAGCTTTCAAGTATTCCAAGACTGCACAGTAACTGTTTTTGGGAAAGAACAGTGGAATAGTTTTGAAATTAGAGGATACATTTGAAATACTTGGTTTGTTTCTCGATTAGGACACCCATTCTTGAGATTTCTAGCATGTAGTTATCTCATTTTGCATTGCTGCAATATTTCTTAAATTTCTTTAAACTTCATACGTTTCTGATAATATTAAGTTATTAACAATAAGTTGATGTCTAAAACAATGTATTGAATGATTATGAATGCATATTATTAAGACACGTCTGCTTCCTCTTGCAGTATATTCTCCACTGCCTTCTGTTATGAGTAGTATTATGATTTTCTTGTGTCTCAACATACTATACATGTGGGGTGAGTTAAAGCACAGAGTTAAAGAATACAATCTTGCAGACATCCACTGATTGGTGTTTCATCATGATGCTTGAAAGTCTGCAATCTCCCCGTGTATTTGATTTTTTGAGGTTGTTATTTCTGTTTAATCTCATATTTTGTTTCCCTTTAATTTGTTTTCAGGTGAGGGATGTTCGGTTGATTATGGATAGGAATTCAAGACGATCAAAGGGAGTTGGGTATGTTCCTTTATGTTGAGAAAAGTTAATACTTTCTTTTGCAATCTTGTGAAATAAGTATTAGCATCTTTGCTTTCATGAATCAAATTTAACTGTATTCTTAAATGAACTAGCAATGCGATAATGATGAGGGATGATGGGAATAACACTCATGTTTAATCAATTCATGCTGCGTTCACAAGGTAGATGGCGTAAACCTAATTTTTCTTCTTCTCATGTCTCTTCTTTGATTTTCTTTACATAGAAGGCAACTTATAAACATGGGTATTTTATACTGATCCTTAACTTTTCATTATTATAAGTATTTAATGATACTTCAAACAATTGAATTTGAAAGTAATCTATCTTAAAGACTTGAAACTCCCTGGGTAGGCCCTATAGTTTCTCTAAAGGTTAAATATTTGGTTGGTACATGAAATATAGCCAGTTCCTCAATGTGGCATATTTGTTTTTTAAGTTCTCAATTTCATAATGAGGTTTTATGCTGTTAACAACTTCACCCATCTCTGACGGAATTTGTTGGGGCAACAATGGGCCTATCAGAAAGTGACACAAAAAACTCCATTTACACAAGATGTAGTAGCAACTTTAATACTCATCATTGATTTCTTATTTTTGTTCTAAAATTTTCATTTTACAATGCTAACTACATTGTTTCAAAAATTTGCAAATAAGCCCTTTTTATTCTTTATGTTATCTATTATTTCCCTAAAATTTTCAGTTACAGAATCCAATTTTTTTTTTCAAATCTCTCTCCTTTTTATGCACATTTCCACTTGACTCCCCAAATCTCCTTCAATGCCCTTTTTACCCCTTTTCTTCTTCCTTTCATTACTCGCTTTAGCATAATCGGAAATGGACCATCCAAAAACCTTCATCATTAGAGTCCAAAACGATGTCAAGCCCTCCTTTTTCACCACCCACAAGCATTGGTACAAGTCTTCACTTTCATCGATCTTTTCCTCTTTGACCCCAACCCAACTCCTCTCTTACGACACCTTTTCACGGATTCTTTGCTAAGCTTACCCATGCTCAAGCAGTAATGCTTCTAACACTTTCCCATGCTGTCGTCATAATATCCGAACAAGTCTGGCGCCTACACAGCATGCACTCTCCTAGTCAAACCCGAACAAGTTGTCAAGCTTCAAATGCTTCCCCATGTCACAGTAACATGGGTGAAGTTGTTAATGAAAACTTTATATATGAAATTGAGAACAAAATAATCATATGTACCACAATGAGGAATTGGGTATAGTCCGTGTATCAACCAGGTATTTAACCTTTTTATAACATATTCTGAGTCAAAAAAATGTTGAGTTTGAAAGGAGGTGTTGAGGTGTTCTTTTTGGTTCTTAGTTCATGATTTTGATAATTTCAAGGTTCATTTTGATATCTTAGTTCTACGAGTGTAATATAGGTTATAAGTGGTATATCCAATCTTTTACCTCTTTTGATATTGAAAAGGATGAGCCAATCCTTTAACCTCCTTTCTGAGTCCTTTTGTTTTGTTTGATTATCGTGTGGTATGATTCTTTGTAGTTTGATTACTATTGTGTATGATATCTATTTTGCTTTTCTAATCTTGATATGTTGATCTAACCTTTTTTTATCACATGAGACATCGGATTCAACAAAAGATACTCAGCATGAGCTCTCTGCACTACATTTTTTCTTTCCCTACATCTCTTTGCTATATGCTTTGCAAGTTTTGTTTGTAATTTTTTCTCATATTTTCTGAGAAACTAATTAAAAAGTATAAGTTGCAGGTATATTGAGTTTTATGATGTGATGTCTGTGCCCATGGCCATAGCATTATCTGGTCAGCTTCTTCTTGGTCAACCTGTGATGGTTAAACCTTCAGAGGCTGAAAAGAATCTTGTTCAGTCAAATACTTCAGGTGCAGGTGCTGGTAGTGTTGCTGGGCCATATGGGGCTGTTGATAGAAAATTGTATGTTGGAAACTTGCACTTCAATATGACAGAAATGCAGCTTAGACAGGTTAGGATCATCAGCTCATCAGCAGAATTAGAAGCTATCATTCTTCGATTTGTTTTATAAATAATTGGTAACAGAATATCTTTTATGTTATCTAAACTTGATTCTAGTTGCTGATTGGTTTTTTAATTTGTTAAAAGGAAAATTGTGGATGAAGCACATTTTAATTAGTTGTAGTTGCTTAGGAAATTGGCAGAATGAGTCTCATAATGTGTTTCAGGTGTCCTTTTTCTTTATCTATTTTCCTTGAAGATATTATTCAGTTCTATTTTTATCGTTTTAATTTTTTAGAGGTACATTTTTTCTCTTGAACATTTTTCTTTTCTTGATATTAATGGTTCAGATATTTGAACCTTTTGGTCCCGTGGAGCTTGTACAACTACCACTTGACCTTGAAACTGGGCAGTGCAAAGGTTTTGGGTTTGTTCAGGTTAGTTATAATTGAGACTTCAGAACGTTTGTTTCCTATATGATAATTGTATAAACATGTATTTTTTTGTTCTTTACAGTTTGCTCAACTTGAACATGCAAAAGCAGCTCAAGGTGCATTGAATGGCAAACTGGAAATTGCTGGTCGAACCATTAAGGTAAGATTGTTAGTTTCATGAGCTTTTGGCGTTATGTTGTAGTCTAATTGAAAGTATGTTCTCCTGTGGCAATAACTGGCTCTTTTCTGTAGTCTTCCCAATTAACATCTTTCTGGTTATATTTGTGTTTAGGTTTCATCTGTTACTGATCATGTTGGCACCCAAGATCCTGCAGCAAAATCTGCTGACTTTGATGATGATGAGGGTGCTGGTTTGGTGAGATAAAATGCTTATTATTATTGTTGTATTTTATGACTATTTTGTTTTATATTTGTGCCCAGTTTTCCTCATCCTAATAGTAGTTCTTACGAAGTGGATCTGCTTCTTTCTTGCAAAGTTGCTCTTCCTTTTCTGCTTAATTAGTTTGTATATTTTATCCAGGCTTTGAATGCTCAATCAAGAGCATTGCTTATGCAGAAACTGGATCGCTCTGGTATTGCCACAAGGTTGGTTTGCACTTTCAAATAGTCGTTTACAGTTTAATAATAGTGCAATACTAGAATTTGGTACGCTCACAATGTGAGTATTTATTATATTATTAATTTTAATTTGAAGAGAAGTTACTCAGGTAGTTCTATGTAAACGTGGGAAGTTCTCTCAACTTTTTAATTAATAAAGTTTTAAAGACAAAAAAAAATACTATTTTTTGTTCTTGTTTCAGTTTTGGATATCCTATAAGTTTGTCCGAGTTGGTGTCACTTGACCTTAACACCAAATTCAGTCGGACTTTAATAATAACTAGAATTTCACACATCCACTATATGTATGAAAAATATATATTTTAATTAATTATATTTATAATAAAAGAATGGTACACGGATAAAACATGGGTAGGTATTTGTAAGAAAAAACATGGGCTTACGTGGATGGGTACTCTTTATGTAAGAAGGCACAAATAATTTTAATTTGAATTTTTTTTTATAAAAATAACTATAGTTGTTTTTATTTTGTCTTCTTTTCCCCCAACTATGTTAACTTCAGTAAGAGATTTTTTGATAGTATAAATGTCTAATGTAGTACTTTTGCAGTATTACGAGCTCCCTTGGAGTACCCCTTCTTAATGGGTCAGCTCCTAATCCACACGCTGTTACGCTACCTGTCAATGGCCAAGCTGCATATCCAGCACCAGTTCTTCCTCCAATCATGTGTGCTACACCCCTTGATCCTATTGGACAACCCAGTGAGTGTTTGTTGTTGAAGAATATGTTTGATCCTGCAACTGAGGTTTGGAGTTCTCTTGTTCTAAACATGTTATGTTTTCTTGTTTCCTTTTGTCTTTTTTTAGGCTTTTGCTTCATTGTATGAATCAGTGATTTCTGTAAGTTCTATTGTAGACTGAACCTGATTTTGATATGGAAATTAAAGAGGATGTAGAAGAAGAATGCAGCAAATATGGCAGGGTGAAGCATATATATGTGGACAAGTAAGCATTTCACTGTTTGTTGCATTGTGTCAGCTAATTTTCTTACAGCCACTTATTTTTTGACCTTGTTATGATATTGATTGTGGATAATGTATATTTTTACAGCCTTTTTAATTAATAAATATTGAATAATTATATATGTCTAACAAGGGGTGAGTTGTGCCAAGCTATTCTTTGTTTGCTTTACTTAAATTGCTCTATTGATCTATAAATCTGTAATTTAAGATGAATTTTGGATGGCTTCCTTTGTAAGGAACTGAAGGATATTGAGTGTAGTGACATATAGTTACATCATCTTTCTCCATTGTAGTAATTTATTCCATTGGAATTCTAAATATGTCTTACCTGTTTTCTATATATACTGACTCGTGTGAAGAATGTACATGGATTTTAATATTGGAATCTGCATCCTTAAATTAGGTGTTCCGTAGATGATGTATATCTTGTGGTATTTGACCCTTATTGTGCAAGGTAGGGCTTTAGGTGCTAATCAATTACTAGTGACATTTTATATTCTGAAGCTTTCTTAGGCTAATCATTTTAACTTGACAGATTTCCCAGTTAATTTTTTTCTATGAACGAAAAGTTTTAACTTTATTTGAGTAAATAAGTATATGCTTTGGTTTTTGCAAAGTGGCATTTAGGGCAAAATGTTTTTCCTTGTTAGCACTTTGATATTTTGAAACAGAAACAGCGCTGGCTGTGTCTATCTTCGATTTGATTCCGTAGCAGCAGCAGGTAATGCTCAACGTGCCATGCACATGAGATGGTTTGCAGGTCGCTCAATAGCAGCCTTATTCATGGTAAATGTGTTTTCCAACCTAATATCATCCTTACTCGGTATGTATAATTTTCAGTTGACCAACTTCATGAATTGGTGCAGCAACCCCACGAGTATGGAGCGAGGTTTAAAGAATGAAGTCGGAGAATTCCAGGAAGATTTCTCAATGTGGATGGGTGGTAGGTTTTTATTTTGTCAACTCTGTTTCTATATCCATACACAACTGGCCTCAATGTAAGATTATATCTACACTCATTTGCACTATGAACCTGATGTGCCTTGTGGTTTGGTCAAATTTAGTAGTGTACTGTTAGCAATCTCGGTTTTCTGTTGTCGAATTCGTAAATGTCTTTACGATCGAGGATCGAGCTAGGATAGGCGTGTAATTGTGTCGATTTGAGCCTGATTTTTCTAATCAAGATAATTATTGAATTGTTAATATGGCTGTAGCGGATGCTGTTCAACTTCAATCGTTTAAAACATGTTTTTAGATTTCATTCAAATTATTGATGGTTTTGGAATTTTTTTTTCTTTTTTTACGACGGTATCTATTCATAATCTTCTTATCATTGATACGTACACTTTTTGCTGACACAATTGTTCGAACTTTGAACTTAAAGAAGAAGAATATTTCTTTTAATTAATGAGTTTAATTGATACATCCACACTTTGCAGATACAATTGTTCGAAATTGGAACTTTAAAGAAGAAGAATACTTATTTTAATCAATGAACTCAACGAGGTCAATGAGCTTAAAGTTATTTTTGGTAATATTTTATTAAAAAAATCATTTGTGTTATTATTTAATGAGTAAAATCTTGATCTAATCATATTTCAAAATCTCGAGCTTGTTAAAAAGGCAAAAGAAATAAATTCAAGTTAATGTTATATTTTTTTAATAGTGTATCTTTGTTGATTCTAATTATTTTACTCTTTTATGTATAAATTTTTATAAATAATAACAAAGATATTCAATAATAATAAGACATTTTAAAAATAGTAAAATTTATAATGATTGTTAATTTTTTTGAAAGATTTACAAAAACATAATAAAATAGATATTTATTTTTTTATAATTGAACAACATTTAAAAATTATGGATCAAAAGACAACTTAAAATATTTTTTTCCAAAAATATATAGTCAACGATGGGAAGCAAAATTGAACATCAAAATCCACTGAAGCTCACTATTGAATCCAAATTAATGGTAGTAAACGCTACACAAACTGAATCACTTTAAAACCAATAACCCATAAAATCAATTTTAAAATTAAAACCTAACTACAACCCTTGAATTTATATATATATATATATATATAGAAAAATGAACTCTGTAAAAAAAAATAACATTTATGTCAGCCTATATCTACACCAACCCCCAAACCTTTGAGTAAGAGATCATAAACTGATGACCTCGAGCTGTTTCGGTTGCTGTTGTTTCTTTGTGTCGTCCGTCTCCTAGTTGTCGCAGTTCAGACCACAAAGTTCTAATACGGGGCCATCTTTCGATACGAATGGGTTTATTCGAACCCACATAAGAGTCAAGATTGAGGCCAGCAGAATAGACCACACCAATATGATGGTTGGCATCCTGTCTTGTTTCCCAAGCAAACCTTTGAGGAAGGGGTAGAGGTGGATGATAACCCAGAAGGCGAAAAATAGTCGACCGAATAACGGCCCCCATGAATCATACCCGTTATTGATGGCATCCGAGATCCCGACCACAACACCGATTATGTTTATGATCAGTAACGTGGTGGGGGGGATCAACAAGGACGTCCACTTGAAGATGTAAAGCTCAGAAAATTCGCCATCATCTGCAGCCTTTGAGGTCACGGTGAAGCTTGTGCTGACACCAGCAAGAACCTTTAGTAAACCCTGAAAGAGGGCAAAAAGATGCGACGAAACACCTCCGATCACCCAGAACTGCTCATTCCTCCACCAGTCATCGATTCCAACACCGCCCCATTGCATCTCGAGAAACCGGTTACAGCGATTGATGAAGAGAAGCATAAATACGAGACTGGCGTAGTTGCTAATCTGCAAGTGAGAAGGATTCCAAATTAGAAAAGACCCGACTTAATACGTACACGTTATAAGCAAAGCAATCAACCATGCAAAACAGGCACTTGCACTTACTAACGGAAACACAAAACTCAACCGAGAAATATACTAACGCATCCTGGTTCTATTTTCCGAGGTTAAATGTAAAAACTAATATGGAGCATAAAACAAGAAAAAGTGGGTTTTTTACCTCGGGAACAATAAACTGTCCGGTAAGGAGACAGATAGCCGGAAGGGTACAGTAAACAACCAACGGAATGGATGTCCATGGATATACAACCGAGTTTATGTAGGAAAATCGTTCCAACCATTTCAACCCACCCCCATATCCATACCAAATGGGACAATGTCTGCTTAAGAAAATTTCAACGGATCCAAGAGCCCAACGCAGAACTTGGTGCAGACGATCCGAGAGGTTAATAGGAGCAGAACCCTTGAAAGCAGGGCGTTTGGGTATGCAGTACACAGATCGCCAGCCATGACAGTGCATCTTGAATCCAGTCAGGATATCCTCTGTCACCGAGCCATATATCCAACCAACCTGTGTTACAAGTTGAAAATTTCAATGATTAGATGTTTAAAATTACAACTGCCTATATTAAGAGCTCGGATTTACTTTCAGGTTTCACTTACTTCCTTCCCCCATTCGGTTTTATCTTCATAACCACAGCTTATGACTTGAATAGCTTCGCTCAGTAATGATGCGGGGCTTGCATTTTGAGGAACTCTGCCATTCTCCATAAGTGTGGAAGCCACAAAACTGGGGACTGACCGAATTTCTTTTCCATTTTCATTTCCGATGTGTCCGATGACTTCTGAGAATTCAACTCTGATAGTAGAAAACAGGTTCTAGTTTAGAACATCATTCTAAAAGTACACTGTAAAGTCATTATAAGATTAAGGAACTGTCAGTTGGCCCCGCTTAAACGAAACCTTACCGATAATTCCCTCTTCAATGTTTTCAAGAGCATGTATCTGCTTCGAAGCTTCCCTTGGCTTAAACTTCTTCGGATTTTCTTTCCGCTGCTTGGTTTTTGTCTTCTTCCTTGAACAACACAGGCAACAGCACCATTTCGGCAAACAATTGCAGGTCATTCCAGGAGGTTTCTTGGTAACCGGAGCATCAAAACCATAAAGCGCTTGCCGTCTGAAAACACAACCTGTTCCAACATAAATTGGTCCTTGAATGCCATCCAATCCTTTCATGTTGATCTGTTTTCAAATTACAAAATCAATTTTTGAAAGATGCCCAAAATAAAGAAACAAATAATTTATAGGGAAGAAATGAAACACTTACATCGAAGAACACAACATTTCTATTCGAGTATCTATCATGTCGATCAATTCCATCAAATCTTTGAGGAAACTGCACGTAACAAACTTTCTTCCCTGAAACTGGGTCCATCATGAAACACATGGCTTCTCTAAGTGCTTTGCCATTGTTAATATAGTGATCACAGTCAACGTTCAGAAGATATGGAGCATTCGAGAGGACCGCTGAGACTCGTATCTTCAATAAAAATAATGGAAGTTCATGATTAAATTAAATGCCAAAAAATGAAACAGAAATACAAAGATATTGTGCCTCACCAAAGCATTCATTGCCCCGGCCTTTTTATGGTGTTCAAAGCCTGGCCTCTTTTCACGAGATACATAGACTAAGTGAGGTAACTCATTGCCTTCCACATCTCGAACACCACTATGACCAAGGAAAACCTGTTTAAAAAAATATTTACGTGGTGCAACCAAGAACATCAATGTCAAATGATGAATACAGCTGAGAACTAAAATAAATCCATTATTCCGATCGTATGACCACATGCAGGTCCGCCAGAAACAAGGAAAAGAAATGGTACAGCGGTGTAAAAAACAAATCCTAAAACTGTTGTTCGGTAAAAACGCTCTCTATCATTCAATTGTCGTGCATTACAGGCCATACAAAATAAAATTTAAAAACCACAGCAAGTCAAATGCAACATCTCACTTGAATCATTCCAGGATGGTCAAGAACATTATTTCCCGGCCATGGAGTTCCATCCTGCATCGTCCAGCCATCCTCAGGGACCTTCTGTGCTGTTGAAACCAATCCATTTATCCTAACCTTAAATTCTTCATACTCCCTCTGCACAATCAAATATTATGTCTTAACAAATAAAGAATTCCACGATATCAAATGCAAAATTCGTAATTTCTAAATTCAACTAAGGCCGATTTGATACTGAAAATGATTTTTAGAACTTAAAATATGAAAGAAGTCGAACAGATCCCATGTTGAGTGAAAAAGACGTCTCGCACCTTCATAGCTCGCCTTTCTCTGACAAAAGCTGGATGAACTTTGTTTTTTAGGTAGTCCATCTTCTGAGAAAAATACCACTCTGGAGCACGGGGTTCAATATTGAATCTTTTACAGAAAGGAACCCATTTCCTAGCAAATTCGGACGTCTCGGAGAGTGCTTCAAATGTAAGCATGGCAGCACCGTCATCGGATACATAGCACGCAACTTTATCGACAGGATAATCAACAGCAAGGATTGACAGAACAGTGTTTGCTGTGATCAGTGGAGGTTCCTTCATTGGATCCACTGTACTCACAAAAACGTCTACACTGGCTAATTCTGATGGTTTTCCTTCTTTCTCGTACCTATACATAAAAAGTAAAATTAGCCAGGAAAGTGGCATCATATTCGAAAATCAATCAAGTAAAATTAGACATGGAGACGGAAATCTTAATTCACATCTAATGATAATGTAAACACATCAAACATGGTAAGCTGCGGGCAACACCACAAACCTCAGAGATAGTCGATCAAGGTATGTTTCACGTTCTATAGGTAACCATTTGGGAATTGATCCAGAATCCACGAAACAGCAAACCATATTTCACATATTACAGATGTCAACCACAAGCCATAAGCATTCCTGACTGGATGTAGAAGTCTATAATGAAAAAATAGACCAAGAATCGCAAGACGGAGAATGATAATCATTCTGTATGGGTTTATCTTGCTTGAAGGAATGGGTAGCTTCCTCGAAAGTGGTTGCCTGCCTTCATCCATCCTGTACAGAGAAAAATTAAATCACAACGAAACTACTGTACATATAAAGCAAAAGCTGCCATTGGGCAGAATTTCAGAAAAAAATCAAACTAAAAAATCCATCGATGTTTATACTTCATAAACACTAGTTAAAAAACAATCTCTTACATCGGCAAATCAGCATCGTCCAACTCCTCCCCATCAAACTTTCCACCATCATTTCCGCCTCCATGTTTAACTACCTGAAGTTTGTCATTCTGCTTTTTTCTTCCACTCCTCCATCCGATCCTTCCATGTGACACTTCCATAACCGTTACTGCTATATCTTTCTTAGGAACC